TTTCCATCGGCATCTTTCCCAGGAAAAGGGGATACGTGGTCTGCTCACTGCGTTGTAAACGACAGCAGATCCCGGTCCGCGGCGGGAAATGTTTGCGGTCCTGTAGGCAAACGGGAAGGATTTTCGCGGAGCGGGATCCTTCGGCCTCCCCCACCCGCTTCATTTGATCTGACGGGTTTTGAAATCCCCTTAGAAATTAGAGACTAATTAGCCCCAAAGCAAGAGTGGCAACAATGCATGACAAAGGCGAAGATTAGGCTTTAAGAAAGCAGCGCAAGAGTGATGGTCAGCAGCTCCTAAACGAGCGGTGTGCGCAAATCTTCTGCCAGAGAAAATCGATCCGATTCAACCGGGGTGTGTCTAACACTGCCAGGGATTGCCAGGGCAAGGCTGTTTATTCAGACAGTCTATGGTGTGGGAGGGTGAAGAAGCAACCCCTAACCTCTTCCAGCCTCCCAAAACAAAAGCAAAACAATTCCCGACATCCGTCCCCAAGGAAACCTTGATCAAAGAAAGGTATTCAGCGGTGTCGGGTGTAGGGGTGTGTTGAGATGCATTTCACGGTATTTGGCGCTACGTATCCAGCGTGATCAGTGCCTGCAGTCAGGTTGATTCCTCTGTGCACCGCCGGTGACCAGGTCGGCTCTACCAAAGGTGTGAGAGCAACCGCTGCCCTGAATAGGACCAGTTTATCCTAGTCTCATGGGCGGGAGGAAGGAATTTTCAAAGCAAGTGCTTTGAGATTGCCTGCACCGAAATGAGCTTTCCGAAGCAACCTTTTACTGGGAAGATGTTTGAACTCTAGTTGAAGGGGATTTAGGGGGACTGGAGAGACGATTCCAACAGTTACTACTGGGAATGCAATATCGGATCCCCCACAATGCTTACTTAGGCTAATGGAGGTCCTGTCATTCAGTTCCCATTGCGCTGGGATACAGGGTAAACATTCCCCGGTGACCCTCTGCGTGCAGGTCCCCTCTTCAGGACATCATTAAAAGCATACATGCACTTGCCTGACATCAATTGTCAGGCTGGCTCTCAGGGTTCAGAGATCCCGACAGAAAGCAGGAAAATAAACCCAGTGGAGACCGGGCTCTGCGGCTGCGGGTTTTAAAGAGGCTGAAAATCGTTTGGTTGCGGGTGTGTAAGAAGAGACAAAAGTGCTCAGCAGGTAAGAGCGGAGGGTTTTGCCAAGAAGGAACTGTCCTTGATCGCTGTGACAGGATTGACTCGCTGGGGACTCCTCTCTCGGGAGCATCCACGCGTCCCCGAGGGGGCTACCTGTCTCCTCTCATCGGCAAGAAATTTTCCAGCCGCTCTTTCTAGTCCTGCTAATCCTGTTAACCGGGGGGTTATAAATATTAACGCCGCTGGGACTGGGGATGGGGGACCAGATTAAGCCCTCTCTGAAGTAAGATGTCAGCCAGCCTTTTCACAGACCACCAGCGACGCGCCCGGGGCTGCTGGATGAGCTGCAGGGCAGAGCCCCGCCAGTGCCCTGCCCAGAGGGGCTGCTGGGCGCCTCGGTGCTGGATTTCGTGGCCGACCTCTCTCTGGGCACACCCCAGGGCACCCCCCGGGCCGGGTCGGGCCTGGGGCTCTGCGAGGTCACCTCCGGGCCTCCCTTCGAGGACAGAGCCCTGTCGCTCAGGGAGGGGATGGCCCGAGGG